TGGATGGATGGATGGATGGATGGATGGATGGATGGATGGATGGATGGGATGGATGGATGGATGGGATGGATGGATGGATGGATGGATGGATGGATGGATGGATGGACTTACAACCGTTGTTTTCTGAACCTTTTTATGTAAAATCAGCATCATTACTGATAAACTTTCAGGCCCAGAATAAAATTGCAATCCTTTGTGACCCAGGGCACAGAATAAAAAATACACCATTTTACATTAGTTGAATATGTTAAATTTGTTTACAAAATCCGTCTGCATTATTGTTCCTTAAAGCTTTTTTTTGTGAGGATCTTTTTTGTTAAAGCCAGTAACAAAATTTGAGTAAACAATCACATGCATGACGATAAAAGCAAGAAAGCAAATTCTTGTTGTTGCTTTTGCTTCTTACGATGAGCTCCACTAAAGTCGTTTTAGTGTTATATCTTCTATTCTTGAATTGAACGAATGTCATTTATTTTCATAAAGGTACAAATCATATCTGGGCAAAAATTAAAAGTTGAGCATGGATGGATGGGCACCATGCATGACATCAAAATCACTGATGGTCTACTGGTGGTGACATGGCTCCCCCTGGTGGCTGTGCTTATTAACTGGGTCACATGTGAGCCTGTTGGTGTTGATTTACTTGAGTGGGGGGGGGGGGGGGGGGTGTTCAGTTTCCTTTAAGATGAAGAGTTTAAGATTTTATATTCAAATGAAGCTGTTAAATCAAATCATGTGACATCCGTCATGTTTGTGTGTTTCTTTCAGAACAAAGTCATCTGGATGCTGACACGTTCTTCTACCTGCTCATTGTGTTTTCAATCATCAGCTCCCTCTACACACTGATCTGGGATCTGCGTATGGATTGGGGTCTGTTTGATCGTGGAGCTGGAGAAAACACTTTCCTGAGGGAAGAAATTGTTTACCCACATAAGGTGAGGTCAGAGATGGATGAAGGGAATGGAAAACACACGCGTTCTCACAGTAACAGTGCCTCCTGGTTGTGTAGGCCTACTATTACTGTGCCATTGTGGAGGACGTGATCCTTCGTTTTGCCTGGACCATCCAGATTTCTCTGACTACGATGACCCAGGGCGACTCGGTGGGGGACATCGTAGCCACCGTCCTCGCTCCTCTTGAGGTCTTCAGGTGAGTCTGAAGAACTTTTTCCTTTCACATTCTGACACTTTCATACCAGGACAAGAACAAATGTTCAAGCTGGGCCAAGAACCCACCATGACCCTCCTCGCCTCCCCCTCTCAGGCGCTTTGTGTGGAACTTCTTTCGTCTGGAGAACGAGCACCTGAATAACTGCGGTGAGTTTCGAGCGGTGCGGGACATCTCCGTGGCGCCGCTCAACGCCGATGACCAGACGCTGCTGGAGCAGATGATGGACCAGGAGGATGGCGTGAGGAACCGCTCAGGCAAAAAGACCTGGAAAGGGTCCCACAGCTTGTCCCTCAGACGCCCCCTGCTGTCCACCTCACAGTAAGACATCAGATTGGCAAACGGATGCCTGATAGAGATCATTTTTAGTTTATTCATAGACAGGAGGCGAGAAGAAAAGAACAACTAATGCCGCACAACTGCTTGGTTTCCACCAGATTTTAAATATTTTATAATAAATTGAAATCCGGTAATTGTGGATTCAATTCAGTTTCTTTATATAGCGTTAAGTCACAACAGATGTTGTCTCAGGGCACTGAACAGAAACATTCATATATATCAAAACAATTTAACTCTGAGGAGCAGACTGCTTTGAGTTCAACTTCATCGCAGAACTCTCATCTTGAGCAAACATGAAGGCGACAGTGGAAAGGAAAGACTCCCTCGTGAGGAAGAAGCCTTTAGCAGAACCAGGTTCAGGACAAGCGGCCATCTGCTTCGACCGGCTGGGTTTGAGAGGAACAGGAAGGAGGAACAGATACACAATGGCAGGTCAAGAGTCACATGTTAAGATGGAAATAATATCAAATAAAAACTATTCAATTGCAACAACTTGTTTTAAGAAATTAGATTAATTTGTCGTCCAATAGTCTAAACCTATAGCAGCATATCAAGCCAACCCTAACTATAGGATTTATCAAAAAGGATCTTAAATCTGGACAATGTGTCAGCCTCACGAACAGAAACTGGAAGTTGGTTCCACAAGAGAGGAGCCTGATAACTGAAAGATCTTCCTCCCATTCTGCTTTTGGAAACTCTAGGAACCACAAGTAAACCTGCAGTCTGAGAGCGAAGTGCGCCGATAGGAAAATATGGAACGATATTATCTATAATATAAGCTGGAACTAGGTTGTTGAGGGCTTTGTAGGTTAGAAGTAAGATTTTGAATTTTATTCTGAATTTGACAAGGAGCCAAAGGAGAGAAGCTAAAACTGTGGAGCAGCATCAGGAAGGGTTTTAAGTTAACCAAACTCATTACCTCAACAAAGAAACCCAGTCTAAAATAATGAGATCTTTGATTGTTAAGTTGAAATTATTGTGGTATATTATTGTGCTGAAATAAATTGTTAGAATGTGAGCAAACTTTTCATGTTCCCAGTTCCATAAGTCACTTTTCAAGATATTAAAAATGAAAAATGGAACATCAACAAAAAAAAAGGCAGGTTTTTGTTAAACTGCTTACCTTTTGTTTGTTTTAGATCGAAGAAGGACACGAAGGTGCTGATTGAGGATACGGATGACGAGGCCTTCAGTTGAGTCCACTGCGTCAGCATCTACACACATTTATTTACCCCACTATGCTTATAAAGACCTCCTTTCTCACACCTCAGCCTTCTCCTTCATAATTTAATACAAGCATTTAGAACCTGAGGTCCGTGCTCGTCTTTACAGAAGTTGCCTCATCGTTACGTCCTTGTGAATAGAGTTGGTCTTTATAAGTATAGACGACACACAAACAAAGAGAAACCTGCTGAAGCACAAGTGCAGTGGGATACCGATACTGCCGAGGAGCGCGCTGAGGCCACACCCGTCACACAGATGTCAAGAGAAAAACCTTCAGATAACTGTAAGACCAAACCACTCTGCCCGGGATTACCCCCCGCTTTCTTAAATAGACTTTTTTAGTTCTTTTTTTCTATTTAGTTTCTTGAGATTCTTTAGTTTTTCCTTTAAGATTGGCTGCAGACGACTGTTTACACGCCTTTAAACACCACTAGGATCAACAGGGAGAAGTCTAAGCAAATCAAGACTCAACGACAGCATATCAAAACTGATCAACTGGTTTCAGCTTGTTGATTCTTTTTATACTACTTTTATTATCGTTATCCTTCTTATTTAGCTGTAGTAACATCAGTGACACCATCACAACCCTGGAGGCACTTGCAGGAAAAGTGCATTTACTACACGAACCATAGAAATAGTCATAAAGGGAAGTTTTGATTCAAACATTTCTAATCTCTGAAGTTTCTTTGTAAGATATGTTGATGTGCGTTATTATTATTATTATAGCTGTGAAGTACTTTTAGATGTGTTATTTATACTGGTATGGCTAGATTGAACCCCCTCACGGCGATCGCTGATGAATTTTATATTGTGCAAAATGTTTTTCATGGTTAAACTTGTGCCATGCTTTTGATAAGTAGACCCCCAGTGTACCCCCAAACTCAAAACGATTTGTGGATTTTAAGTCATGATTGTTGTCTTGAAGACCCTGAATACAAGGTGCGTGCACAGACATGAACGCTTGTTGGCAGAACTCGAGGGGATCAATGGGATGAATTGGTTCACTCGCTCAAAACCTGCTGCTCGTTTTATGAACTAGCGTTGGTGTTTCGCCATCTTTAATTGGACTGAACAGTTTGAACCGATTTTATACATCAGTGGATCTCAAAACAGGAAGCAGGACCAAAAGATAAAATGTGGAGCACTTTTAATACTAAATAGGAGTAATTAAGATGTAGTTGAGCAACGAAATGGCATCAGATACATGATAGATTTGTAGTGAGAAAAGAACAGAGTTGCCGTATTTTTCGAACTATAAGGCGCATTTAAAATCCTTTAATTTTATCAAAAATCGACAGTGAGCTTTATGTATTAATTCTGGTTGTGCTTACTGACCTTGAACTGATTTTATGTGGTTATTGTGAATGAGTTGAATAAAGTTTGACTCATCTGTTTTGTTTCGCTTAATCACAATCCGGTGCGCCTTATAGTCCGAAAAATACGGTAAATTAAAGTTGCTCTAACGTTTTCCACTGGTAAAGAAGGAAAGCTTTCTGTGTATTTAATGACTAAAAAAGTATGCTCAAGTAAATTTAAATGCCCTACGTGTCATATTAGGTTATCTTTTCTAGGTTGTAAGAGTTTGAAGATTTGATACAAGGGACTGAACGAAAAAGGTGCAACTCCCCATTTCCTTTTAAACCCATCAGGAAATCACAGATCTGTCACACTCTTTCACTTACGTGTCATTTGTGTTTGCCTTCAGTAGGGGCTGCGGTAGCTCGGTGGTCAGTGTAACCCTGAGGCTGCGGGTTCGAGCCCAGGTTGTGTCAGGAAGGGCATCCGACGTAAAACTATTGCCAAATCTTTCATGCGAGTTCGCTCGCTGAAAGGTGCAGCCGAAAGAAAAACAAGTTTGACTTCAGTGTTGTGGTTCGTTAGATAAATGTGATGTGCATCTGATGTCTTCTGCTACCTCACCCCCATCTTAGCACAAGCATGAAGAGCTGTTTGTTGTGTTTTTAACGAGTAAGTCGCTGCTGTTCGAGGACACCCCCCCCCCCCCCAGCTGTCAAAGAAAGGTGCCAACTTTAGCGTCAGTCTGCGCTGAACCCCCTCATTCAACTCCCTGTTCTGAGGTTCCTCCTTGTGGCTTCGTGGTGTCCCCACCCACCGGTCATGAGACGACTCGCAGAGACAGATTAGTTACAGGATAGTCCTGTTTTTGTCCTCTTTTAAACTTTTTTAGTGGCTTAGAGTCTGGAAGGCCTCCATGTCCAACAGGCTTAATGAGAAGTGGAAAGTTCAGAAGGTGGAACACACAAACACACATTGCCTCTTTCCTGTCAAAGCGCAGATAGTTTTGTACAATAAATACATTTAAAAGGCCATCTTGTTGTGCCTGCATGCTGCTTTTGTTTTTACTTTGTACATAATCTTAATTTATTTGGCGCACCGACGACGATGATTTTTATTTGTCGCCACGTTAGCTTCAGAACAAGCAGTATTTTCGAGGTGGCGAGGAGCTTATTGTTGATCGTTCTCAACCCTGCACCCTTTTTCACGTGTAAAGCTGTTGAACTGTGTTTGTATGAGAAGAAGAGGCAAAACAGAAGAAAATGGTGCAATTATCGCTTTCCTTGCATTTTAAACCCTAGTCCCCCCCCCCCCCCCCACACCCCCTCATGTGGGAGCAGTTTTTTTGTATCCCGAGGCTGTTAAGCTGTTTGTACATTTGAGAACGTGCATGAAAAATATTTGTGACATTTGTGGTTAACTGTCCTGCAGTTAAAAGCACTTTGACATACGTTAGCTGGGCACAGTGAGGGTCCCACATCTTAACATTAATAAACCGATCCCAGATCGTGCTCACGGGAAGCCTTGAGGCGTTCTGAGAGAAACAGCTGGAGCGACCTGCGTCTGTTCTCTGGTGTTCTGACAAGAACGGGGTCTTTTGTACAGTTGGTGTTTAATAAGATGGTGACAAACCCTGACATCATTTTGTTTTCCTCACTGAGGACTTCTTTTCCCCACAGCCTGCTGAAACCTTCATGATGTTAAAGTGCTTGAAATGTGTGAAACACCATCCCCTCCCCTTGATGTAGTTCTCTAAAACTAGCTCAACGTGATATTATCTGTAGTTTGGTAGATGGATGTTCTGCTTTGATAACTTAAAAAGTTAACACACTGTGGCTAAATGTGAGTTTAAGAGAAATGAAAACGTCTTACAGTCTGACCTTTTCCAGAGTAGTTTGTACATGTTGAGTGTTTAACAATGTTCCATGATGGGTTTTTCTGATGGTATTTGTATTTCTGTACACACTTTGGTGATTCTGTCATATCTGGGTTTTATAAACCATGAATATTTTTAAAACTCACTCTGCCTCATGACTCTTCTTTTACACTCCTCGTCTATGGAGCTTCAAGCCCTCCAAACATACGGATGTATCTGCGTCCAGTTACTTGTAATGAGTAGCGTGTTGCCGTTGTCCATGTTTGGTTCCATAATTGCTTCTCGTTTGTTCCCCAGCTCTGTGCAGTATTTCACAGCTCACCTAAAAAGCTAATTCTTCAACTGCTTTTAGCTTTAAGCAGAAGTAGCAAAAGCCCAGGCAGGATTTATAGATTTCATGCCCCCCCTCTCAATTCTTGTGGGCAGATTGAGTGACATGTTTACCTTCAGTTTGCCAACATCAAGAAATTACTCATCCTGAAAAAATATATATGCTTATTGACAGTCAGGAAGCAAACAGAACAGATTAATCGTCATTTAACTCAGAATTAATTCCCTCCTAAATCAAAAGTGCTCATCTATTGAGAAGTGTTCATTTTCTTTTTTGGGAAACAACAGTGAACTAGTTTTAAAAAAGTTAATGCTGTAAACACTGACCCCATTATTTTCACTGTTTACACTACTTTTTACCGTACGTATATAAAGTTTTTTTGCAACAATGAGCATTAATAACGGAAAAAAACTGCATCAAAGAATAATTTTGGCTACAGTGCCACTTTCGAAGAATGACCATGTGATAAAAATGTACACAGTATATAATTCAACTTAAGACACACTGCAATAATTATATAAAGATCATTTCCACTTTAAGCTGAATGTAGCAGGTTAATTTTAGATCACTGCTAATAGTTCTTATACAAAATATATTGCTGTCTAAGTGAGAAGTAGAGGAAATAACTAACTGCAGACATTTTTGCACTGAAATTCAGTTCAAATTAATATCTATTTAAATATATATATACATTTTAATAATCTCCAAAGCAACGAGCCTGGCAGTCCACATCTAAGAAGGTCACAACTAAGTTGTTTATTTTCTGATAACTGATACAGGATAAACGATACATTATTTTTAACACTGATGATATTTTGCTTTTATTTTCGATGTCAGTATGCAAAAAGACAATGCAAAAGAAACACGTTTATGAAATCATGATTAAGATACATAATTTGACTGCTTTATCATCATTAAACCAATTATTTTAAGGACTCCTTGTTGCCCTGGTGATAACTTGTTTAGCTACAACAAATAAAAAGGGAAGAATTACAAAAATAAAAAAAGCACAAACATCAAGAGTTGGCTGACAGCAAACACTGTAAGGAACCATGTGATCTTTTGATGAGTCGGTTCATAATATGTATAGACGCATATATAAAAATACAGGGTCCCTGTATATATGCACATACAGTAATAATGCAGATACTATAGTTGTACAGCCTGTTCTGGGCTTACAAACAAAATGAAGAGAGCAGGAAACGCTTTATCTCTGCATATAAACACACATTTTCCAACCAACAGGCAGAAGGCTCTCTGGCTTTAGAAGCTAAAAACTACACCCAACATAAAAAAAGAAACAGACATTCACATTTCTGAAATAGTTTCCATCATTTCATAACGTCTCACCTGATCAACCGTCCTGCTTGAAGATGCTGCAGATGAGCTCTGTTTGTGCAGTTGTGTCCGACTGATCGAGTCCACTTTCACCGAGTACTTCACTGTGTGTTGGTCCTCGTCTCCACATCTTCACTCCGCACGCCGTGCACTCATTCACCGACTCGCTGGGTTTCTGCCAGTCTATTCATCCACGAGTGCAGGCGAATGAGTGAACACATTGTGGATGAAGGCAGAGGAACTTGACTGTAGCTGTTGGTGTCTGTGTTTAGTGTGCACATATCCTGGAAGTCCATGCATTGAGCTGTCAGAGTGTGTTTAAGGTCCATTTAAGGTGAGGAGGGGGCTTTGCTACTGCTGTAATGAACTTGGTATCTGTTGACCATCTGTCCTTTCACCTCTGTGGACAGGCAGATAGTCTTGCAGGGGATGAAGTCCTCTTCCTCCTCGCCCATTAGCCAGTTGTGCACCGAGCGTTCGGCTGAAGCCGTGACGTGATCGGACAGCCAGCTCTGGTGCCACTTGTCAAAGTGTTCATGTTGGCTCGCTGCCACTCCGTGCTGCGACTGGAGAGAGAGGAAAACCATGAGAGACTCGTCTGAGACGCACCAAGCAGGACTTGAAGAACAAAAAACAAATCATAAAGTTACATTTGACCCAGTCTAACCTAAAAATGCACATGTAAACAAGGAAACCTGCTTTGATAAAGAATTGGTCTAGGTTCTGAATAAACTGACGCACATTTCAATTTATTTCTGCAATTCAACAGTTTTGAATGGATTTAAGTGTCACAATAATCGCAGGAAGTTGCAGCAAACTGTTCAAACGCCAACAAAAAGCTGCAGTAGGAAAAGGAAGAAACTGTTTCTAAATCAGACACAATTCAAGTTTAAAAAAATGTTCACTTGTAGTTTAAAATGAGATGAAATCGAACTCCAACTTCAAACCAGTCGGTGTCAAGTTAGCAATGATTCAGCTCACTGAAGCAGCGCGCAGATTCTTTCAGTTTAAGGTTGTTCAGTTTGTTTTAATTCTTCTAATGTGACACCAAAACTAACCAGATCAAAAGTACACAAAGTAATAAAAACAAGCACGTTTCCAGATGTTGAATAAAAACTCCAGCTCTACCTTCCTGGCCTTGACCAGCGCCCCTCGACGGTACATGTAGTCCTCAGAGTTCATGACAAACACCATCTTGTGAGTGTTGAGTTTAAATCGGCAGTCCAGACTGCCGGCGTTTTCCACAGCCAGCTGGCGGTGCCACTCCCTCCTGCAGCGCATCGCTTCAACCTGCCGCACCTGCCAGCGGCGGAAACGGCGCAGGTTCCTGTCCGACAAGACACGATACCATTTGAGAGGATTGTTTAGATCTCAGCATTTCTTTTCAAAGATGAGACACTTAATTTGATCAATTTTAAACATCCATTTGTCAGACCTGGGCAGAAAAACAGGTTTGAAGAAGTAGCCCTCTGCTTGACAGCACAGACTGGACTCTGTTCCTACAAACTGCTCCATGTAGCTTGACAGGCACTGATGGAATAAAGAACAGAAGCATGAGTTTATTACCTCTGGTCTGAATAATAAAGGACAGGTTTATAATTATGAGGTTACCTGAACATCTAGTGGATCATCTGCCTGAGCTTCTTCAGTGTCCAACAGCTCAATGGTCATCGTCACTTGACCCTTGTTTTGAATAAACATCACCTGAAGAGCAAGAATGTAAAAATTTTAGTTTTCTGGGGTGGAGGAGTGACTTTCACATCCACATTTCACTTAAATCCATGAAGCCTGTGGCTGAAATGAAGAGGACCAAAGAAAGGACTCAACTCGACGCTTGTTGTTAAAAGGTGTTAAAAGGTTTTTTTGTTGAGAGACTTGGTGCAAGAGAGAGTTGCTGACATTTGACAGACAACTGATTCACCGCAAGTAAATAAATAAATGAAAGAAAGAAATACTAAAAAAGCCAACAGCATGAACACAAAACGGATTATAAAGTGACACTAAGTATTTAAAAACAATGTCGAATAAATTTTGAAAAAAAAAAAAAACCTGGTGACACAAAACAGAAAATCTGCAGTAGATATTCTGGGGCTTATTTCTATACCGTATTTTCCAGCGTATAAGTCAAGTTTTTTGCATAAACTAGCATGCCTGTGACTTATACAACGAAGCAACATATTTATGTTTTTTTTATCCCATATTTATAACAATTTTTGGCTGAGATCTGACAATTTCATTCATTCCAACATGAAAAATATTGAACACTACCACTTTCAGCCACTAGAGGGCCCTCGACTAATATGGCAAGCCAAGTGTCTCATTAATAGGTAAAAATGGCTATAATTGCCATACAAACCACCTTCGCCGCACTCCAGAACTCCTGAAGCAAACATTAAATTAGCTGCATTTCACCGTGCCGCCCAGGCGAAATGCAGCCGATCTGACGATTAAAGTGGATTTATTAAGGAAAAGTTAGACTGAGACACACCTTTGCTATAATTTCGAGCAAACAAATAATTGTTTTTAAGTGTGAATGCTCCTGCGGCCGCTATTTGGCAGCCAATCGATTATTGGCACAACACCGGCCCACATTTCCGGGTTGTCAGCAGTGACGCATAACAAACGTGACGCGTCAGCGATGACACATAATAAATGTGACTTATACGGCAAAGCGACTTTTTTCCCCCCACTTTATTAGACATATTTGGACTGATGCGACTTAATGGCAGTGTGATGTGTACGGCGGAAAATACGGTAATCCCTCACAATTTGTTTTCTGGATCTTCTCAGTGCTCTGATTTTCTAACCTCTGAAATGACATTGCAGCTGTAAACAACACTTTCACAGAAACTGCAAGTATGAACTAGTTTTGAACATAAAAGTGTCATTTAGCCCAACTTTTCCAGGACTTTGAGCTCACCTTGAAGCAGTTCTCCTCAGCCATGATTCTCTCAGCTTTCCACTGATAGCTCGTCTCCCAAGCTGCTCTAACACACTGAGAGGACAAATTCCCACCTGCTGCCCCACGCTTCCTCTCAGCCAGGTAAAGATCAACCACCTGCAGACACACCTCGTCGCTCACCAGGTGCTGTAGCTGATGTCACAGAAGAAAAGAAAATGTTTACTTTACTGAAGTAGATAAGTGTTCAGTACAAAAGTAAAGTATTCTCACCTGCCGGATGATGTTGTGGATGACTTTGTCGATAGTGAAGCCAATGTAGGCGTGGATGGTGAACATCTCTCTCAACGTGTCTTCATACTGCGTTGAGTCCAGGTTACCATCCAGGAGACTGCGCACCATATCCAAGAAGGCTGGGTAGTACTCCTCCAATTCCACCTCACCTATGAATGTAAGGAGATTTCACATTTTTCACAGCAGCACGTTACGTTGTCACAGCACAGCTGACTCATCTGCCTCGAGGCAAGAGTGAGTAAGTTCGCACTAGACAGATGTGTGGATTGTGCAGTGGGAAAATGTATAAATGCATACAATTGTGTAGTAATGGTATATTGGTTAGGTTTACAGTTAACATTATTAAACGTAAATGGACAGAGTGGCTACCATATCCACTTCCTTTAGCAACTCCCTACATTTCAGTGTGTTCACCTTAATTTTGCTAAGTTTTGAAAAAAAAAAACAGAAGCTTAAAAAATTACTTTATCCAAGAAAGAACAACTAAAGATCCACAGTTTACTTTAACAAACCTTCCTCATGTAGATGATTTTGAACTGATCAGAAGTGTGCACATCAGTGTTGCCAGGTGTACGATAATTATCGTATTTGTATGACAATTTTGCCCTCTGTACGATGTACGATCAAAAATCCCAAAAAAGGCCAAGTATACGATAATTTGACCATTGCATGAATGTGTGGTTGTAATCGGTTGTCATTAGCGTCTCGCAACTGTCTGAGTTTTTTTGTGAACCCTGAAGGCATCTGTGTCCGCAAACAGATGCACGACAATTGTGCTTTTCTAAATGTTACCTACAAGTGACGTGTATGCGTTTGCCTCAGAACAACGGCCATGATTGGCTGAATAGGCCGCTGCGCCGGCCCCATGAGTGAGGAAAAGAAAAAAAGAAAAGAAGAAGCAGAGCCGGTCTGGAAGCGGACCCATCATTACTATAGGGCATCAATAGATTTGTTATTTTGGTTATGACGGGTGTACGATAGTTTCCTTCAAAATACGATTTTATGTCTCTAGTACGATAATCCTACATTTCTCACCTGGCAACACTGGTGCACATTAAGAAGTGGACAACAAAGTCAAAAATTATAGTTACCAAATACACATAGCTTGTCAAAAACACATCCATGTTGTTGATTTCATGCTGCTGATTTATTACATGCTGCTGTATTCATCTGCTCACACAGACTCATGTTCGTGCTGCTGTTGTTTGGCATATTGTTTTTGTACTATTAATGCTTAGCGTATTCTTGGTTTAGCGTAGTTCTTAGTTCATATCTTGGATCTTTTTCCTTTACAATTTATACTTTTGCTGGATGCAACTGGGACCTTGTTTACACAATTTTGTTCCATCATATGTACTACATGTGATGAGAATGACAATAAAGAAACCTTGACCTTGACTATGACCTTGATAGCTCACTGACACTTGCATTATTTTGCCAAATGTGCTTCAGTTTTACGCAGTTTGAGTTCAGGATTACAGTATTACCAATGCTGACAGCTGTACAGCACTCTGATGTGCATTCTCTAAATAATAAAGTAAACCTTGACTAAAAGTGTTTTAACAGACTGTAAAATATAGTTTCTCCAACAGATAATAGCTGATCATTCAGTTTGATAAATCATGGTAACTTCTGTCATTCCTCTAACCTTTGCCTAAATTTTGTCCTACGTGTAGAATTCATCAAGTTTCTGCTTCAAGAAGATTTCTGTTTGCTCATTCGTATTGTAAAATGTAAAATAACTTCAGTTATAACTATAATACTAGATCGACTCTAATCCTAGAGTTGATGTGGTCAAAACCAAACCTTTACACTCGTGCTATTCCTTTACAACAAATAGTCCAGCATCAATACTTAAATTTCAACATAAAATGGTCCCCTAAACATTGTTTCTTAAATATTTGCAGCAACTTTTCTTTACATCCAACTTTCACTTTTAAGTTTTGCATAAACAAGGCCAGCAGCTGAACTTACTGGGCTCTTTGAGGCGGAGCTCCATGGCTAGGTCACAAGCCTTTTCTCTCCTTCCTTCCGTCATCAGTAGCCTCTCTCGGCTCTGCTCCGCTCTGTGCTCCAACAGCTGACGTTCAGCCTGCCGGTAAACCCGCAGCAATCTTGAACACAAAGTCTGGTGCAGTCGCAAAAAGAAATACCAGTTGTTGTTGACAAAGAAAAGGTTGTAAACTCCATCCAGCTCCTTCTGGTGTTCTGCTTCAGGGTCACGAAGGTCCACTCTCTCCCCAGGCACACTTGAACCCATCTCCATGGGTATAGGGCCAGGAGTGGATGTAATAGTCCCTGCAGGTTGGCTTGTGCTGCTGGAGGTGGAACAGGGTTCGGTCTCTGTGGATTGCGACAGGCTGCAGCGCCTCCTTCTGGACTCACCATTGAGTTGCTGCTGCGGCTGGGACTGGGTCTGAGCTACCTGAGGTTGAGTCTGACTTCCCATGGCTGCTACTCCTACTGATCCATTACTCGAGTTACCATTTCCCCCTCCTCCTGTTGAAGTTCCTCCTCCTCTTTCTCCTGCTTCCTCAGGCTCCACCTCCTCATCTGTCCAGTCTTCTGCATCACTGAGCTCGCCGCGTCGAGCAAAGAACAGGTCAGGAACAAAGTGCTTGATAATGCGCTTAATGTGGTCCTTGTCGTCCTTGTGGATGGCGGGCTGACGTTTGACATGGTAGATGATGAGGGAGGCAGCGTCTTCAAGAATCTGCTTATCCTCGTATGTAAACATCATGTGAGGTTCACTGGGTGCAGCTGAGCCAGAACCATTACGGCCTTGATGACCAACCCCACCTTCTTCTGTGCTCTGTTCCTGACGCTAAGACCAAAACAGAAAACAGATGAAGGTTGGAAGACAGGTCACCATTTACAGATTTTAAAGATTACATTTATTAATTGTGATAAGACTTCTGTTGTGATGAGATCGTTATCTTAAAATAAACAAAGGTGGGGAAACTATTAAGATTGCTTCTAAATAAATAAATAAACAAACCCCACACTGAACAGTCGTTGCCATTTGAGGTGTAAAGAGTTTTACCTCATCATAGATGCTTTCAATCTCATTGAGAAGACTCTTTGACCGCAGGGCCTTCATGTCGTTCTGTTTGAAGTTGACCCCTTGGTGGTCGAGGGATTTCAGGTAGGCCTTCTCATACTGCTCCCTCCAAATCTTATTGAAACCCTGCTGGGCCTCTCTCCACTCCTCCTCCTTAGCTTTCAATCTGATGGGTTAAAAAAAAAGCTTTAAGGTTCACACCTAATACAAATAATATCTGTGTTACTAGTGCATAAGCTAATGCCTGTGTTTCAGCTGTATCTATAAGACAATATAGGTGTTTATTTTGTCAACTCCAAAGACGTTTACGAATTTACAAAGCAATTAGTTCACTTGCTTAAGCTATCCGACAGGAAATAAAGCATATCAGAACATACAAGAAACAATCTCAATTATTTGGTCACATTTATATAAAAAATTATAAACTGAAATATTTCAATGTGTTCTTTTAAAATGTAACAATGTTAACGTGTGCACATTTAAAAGCATTAATGAAGCTGTGGTTTTGTAGAAGCTGGTATAATCTGAGATAATAGGATTAGGGAAAGAACTTGAAATTAAAACAGAAAATAAAAATGCTGACCTCTTCAGCACCACGGGCACAGCGGTGACAGGACTTCTCTTCAGTCCCTCAATGATCTCGGGGGCTTTGTCGCCATAGATACGATATACGGCACGGCGCTGGATGACTTCTGAGGTGCCGCCCAGGCAGTCGTCTAATCTGAATCTCTCCTGGTCCTCTGGAGACAGGCGAGACAGCTTCTTCTGTACGCTCTCCAACACCCTGATGGTGGCCAAATTTGTCTCCAGAACAACATCCAGCTATAAGTGATGCAGATTTTAGTCATTCACAACATGTTTAGGTGCTGTTTAAGCATTAAATCCTCTTTTTTTAAGAGTGGCAACGCAATCATTTGAAGCACATAATAAGTTGTGTTTATGTCAAAAAAAAGCATCAGACTCAATAGAATGTAGATACCTCAAATCTTTCATCCTCACAGCGATGCAGCTGTTCCTCATATGGAGTTTTCTTCGAGCTAACAAAGGTGGAATCCTCTGACCAGGAGGGAAATGACACCCAAGTGTCGTTCAATACCTTCCCACACAAATAAAGAATCATTTGTCACGGTCTTTTTGGATATGCAGAATACACACCACCAATAATCTACAGATGGCAGTACTGCCCAAAAAAAGTTGAAATCTCTCAGCCAAAGAAGTGGATAGAAAGACAAACAGATACAAAGTAGCTTTAAATAACCTCCCCACCCTCCAAAATAAAAGGATTTAAGAAAACTGAAATCTAAATTAGAATGATTTGAGCCGTACCTCTTTGCAAAGGGCGGTGCGCCCACTGCATTTGGGCTGCTGGTATGTTTTAGGCAATGCTCTATAACTGGACCCAAGGCGCTTGCAAGATGCGTAATCCACCTCCCTGCCCCCTCCCCCTTCCATGTAACGATCCGACAGCCCCGACACAGCATGAGTGAGCTCTTTGTCCCCCAGAAATGACTTGAACTGTGTGTACAGCTCAGGAAACTTCCTGTAAGATTCATAAAATCAACAAATAATAGATAAGGTACAAAAGAGACTGAAAGCAAAATAATTGAGAGGTGATGTGGATACAAATACTACTGTAATATTTGTGTATTCAAAAGCTTTAGATACAAGCTCAAACAATTAACATTTATTCTAGACAATTGTATCATCTGTTTAATCTGTCCATCCACTCACCCCAGGAAAGGTGTGACCAGCTGCAGCAGCTCTGCTCCAGAAACTACTTCCTGGTTGAACAGGGCGATGCATCGTAGGAAGTTCTCGTACACTTCTTGACTTTTAAACAGGCGACGAACCTGAACGATGGAAGTTTGACAAGGAAAACTGAAAAATCAACTGAAGAGATAAAGTCATGACATAAAAAGCAGCAATGAAGAAACACAACGGCAGTTTGCAAAACATTTTTTTATCAAACCAAATAGGAACAACACACTCATGAACTGATTCCTCACCTTATCAAAGAAGGAGAATTCTCTTAAGACACCATGTTTCCCAACAGAAGCAAAGGACTGATCTTTGGTGCAGGTATACCTCATTTTTTTCTAAATACAGAAAACAAATTATATTCAACTTTTTTTTTACATATTTAAATTATTGTACAACTTTTAACATCTGGGCACTACAAGTAAAACAGAAACAGAAATCAGCATTTTATGTCAAAGAAATAATGAACATAATGAGTTGTTACTTCAGCAAGTGTAATTTTAAACTATAATTAAAAAAACCTATGTTAGCATCAAAACATGGCTGCTTTATATAAAGAAAGCTGTCCTTTGGTGAGAGGAATCAAAACTTGCACTACAGAAGACTATCTTTTTGCTTGATGTCAGCACAGAGCTGAAAGCCACATTCAGTGATGGAGGTGCATTAGTGAACGTGGCAAAGCTAACTTGCACATTTGCAGAGGCACCATTAAAGCTGAATATTGATATTTGCAGCAATATTAACTACCAATAAACAACTTGCATGATTTACTAATATTTCAAAGCCCTGGTTTAGATACATTACAAAAAAAAACAAAAAAAGTTTAAACGTTTACATGAGCTCAACTAGTCAGAAGATTATAGACTTGTCATATTTTAAAAACAATTGGTGCATTCTGTAATTAAAATAGATCAAAGAAATACTTGACGTGTTGTAAGAGAGTAATCTCAAATGAAGCAAGAACTGAAAATCTCCATATTTGGTTCACTGAATTCTCAAATGCATTTTTAGATGAGGAAATGCAACAGTGATAAATGTGCCCACCTGTCAGCTGATATGAGCTATAATCCCAAAAATTACAAGTCTCATACTTAGTATCTGATGTGCTTTGGTTGTTTGTTTTAGAGGACATTTAAAACAACAACCTAACTCTTTGAGAGGGTTAAAGTTAGAAAATGTTTGCCTTTTTTTGATCTGTCAAAGTTTTAACTATGTTTTCTCTTAAAGGAACATGTATGAATTAATTTGTGCATTGCCTGGGGTGATAACTGTCCATGCAGAATTTACCTTCAGCAGTGGGGACATGTGCATGAGTAATGGCCTGGGCCTCTTTTTGTTCTGTTTGGTAATCGGGTCTTCTTCCTCCAATTTTTTCACCTGCTCCTTCCCCCCCGTCAGCGAACTCCCTGTAAACTAAAAAGAGAAAAGGAACATTTAAAAGTTAAAACACAAATCAACAATACTTCTCTCTGAAGAACAGTTAACATGTAATAAAGATTTTGGTTTGTTTTGACTTTTGAAAAATATGAAGTAGGCCTAGGTTTTTACATTCAGATCTCAAAATAATTTAAAAATCTCAAAATTTACTCTCTCAAAATAATAATTGAGAAGCACAACAGAACAATTTTTTGTACATCTGCATGAAAAAAAAAAAAAAAGAAACCATCCATGTCTCAAAACACAGAAAAATAGGTCTGGTACAGCGAAGGAAAACTATTTAATGTGCAAATCATTAAAAAAATAATTATCTGCTTTGAGAGAAAAGTCCCTTGGTACTTCGCAGTTCGACTTTTGTGGACTCGCTCTTTCACGGTTTTTCAACGATCGTCAACGTTAATACCATACCATTTTATTTATAGAGCACTTAAAACAGCGACAAGGCCAACCAAAGTGCTGTACAGATGGAACAACATGTAACACACAAAGCAATATACAAAATGAAGTAAATCAGAAATATAGACATAAAAACGATGCAGATAATGACGAATAACCAGTGTGGAGCGTACAGGTTCAAAACACAGATCCTCTGGTGTTGAAAGCTATCGAATAGTAGTGGGTACTAATAGTAGTTACTAATAATACTCATGTGATTGGGACGGTATGGGATAAAAAGTTAATGGAAAAAAACCCGAAAGTTACATATGTAACTACAGTTCTATGAATCCCTCCTGACCGCCAGAGCTTCTCTGTCACTCAGAATCCCTGCATTCCACGAGAATATTCTGTAGGAGCAGAGCTGCAGATGACGTCAGGCTATATAGCCTCTGATTGGTCATTCGTGTCACACCTGTGACTCTGTTGGTATTATTACTCGAACAACGCATGCACGAAGGGAACATTCAGTGCTTTCAGCACCGCCCTCTGGCGGTCAGGAGGGATGAAATAGAACTTCGGACAGACGCCGCCATTTTTTCTTTCAATAAGCCTACACTGCCTGTCAAAAGAACTACACTACACAGAAGCCAACATGCTTCCAGTCACTTCTTTCTGCTGAAATGGAGGGAAAGTTTTGCAACACAAATCTACGTCATCTATGAAGCTCACAGAACTGGCAGGAAAGTCGCTAATAATCCTGAAGCTCAATTATCCATGTGCACATCAACCTGGATGGGGTGGTGGGCTTCGTCGCTGCAGGGTAGGTCTGCCAAACCGGAACTGAGCCGAACCAGAAATAAATACTAAAATAAATATAGCGTTCCTATTTCGCGTTTTTTCACCTATCATGGGGAGGTGTGGAACGTAACCCCCGCAATAATCAAGGGACTACTGTATTATTAATTTCTGTTCGTCACTGCTTCACTTACCAGTGACCGCTTGGCATCAGGCAAAAACTGTCCAAACTCAGCAAGTAGGTCCTCCTGTCCCTTGAAGAGATTGGCAACTTTGGAAAACACCTCATCTTCGGTCATCCCACTACTGCTTCGGCTACCACGACTCTCCTTCACCTCCAGCTGCTCTTTCTGAAGAGTTACAGAAACAGTAAAATGTTTTCATGTGTAAAGAAACTTTATTGAACAAAAGAGTAAAAAAATATATACCGGTATATATTTTGGCATTTAGATACACATCGTCAAGAGAAATAACATGCTAGTGCAGAAATGTGACTGTAATTATGACTTGTTATTATAAATCTTATTGTTGTTGTTACTACCACTCAGTAAGAATATAACACCCTAATATGTTGTTCAATCAGATGTTGCCACGTTTCATGTCTTCAGTACCTGGTATGTGTGAAGAATTTCTAGGAAGGCTCTGTAAATCTCTGGGTGGTCCAGGAAACGGTTTTTAATCTTGTTTACATAACTGATGGCACTGTCAAATTCGACGGGGCTCGTCTCTGAAGCAGGTGGGGATACGGATGAGGTGGTGGCTTGATTCTGGCTTTCTCTGGTAGTCAAGGGGAGAGAAAGTTTGCTGGGTGGTTCTGGAGGTCCTGTTGAGGGTGAGGATAGGGACTCTGATGAGACTGCCTTAACTTCACTGGTCTGGACTGGTCCTGCTTCAGTGTGAACAGCAGGAACAGGGCCTGAGGTTGCAGCTACTGGAGTGGTGGTCAGGCTCTTCCCCTGCTGTCCTGGGGATACCTATGTAGATGGCCAAAAGACAAATCATGCCATTTTTCTCAATAAAAATGTATTTTGTTTGAATAGATTGTTTTGAATTGATATTGTTTAGAAGGGGAAGAAATTATAAGAATTTGTTGTTCTTCTGCTGCCTTTCATTTTATATGCATCTTATTTTATTCGTATGGAATAAGTCTTGTTTTAACTGAAATGAAATGAATGAATAAATAATAAATAAATACATTTTCTATCATTGCATTTTTATTATTTCACCATTTTAATCTTCATACTGTATTTATTATGAAGCACTCTGGAACATAACATTGAGTTGCTTTATCATATGGGGGCGGCTGTGGAGCAGTGGTAGGGCACCCGACTTGGGAACAGAAAGTCGCAGATTGATTCCCTGCCATGCTCACATCTTGGTGTCCTTGACCAACTGCTCCCCGCTCTCCTCCTTCCATGTTCAAAATTAAAATAACTAAACTTTTATCTACGAAGTGTGCTGTAAAAAGTTTACTTCCAGTTACTGTAGGTTGGAGATAACGTGAATATTTCAAACTTAAAGAGACAAAAAAAGGCTTGTACACTTCGAGTATATAGAGGTCAGCATGGCATATTTTAAATATTTGGTTGTGTGAAATAAATAGAGCAGAAGGTTCAGTTACGAAACTTGTTTAATGCCCAAACAAGCAAATCTAATGCTAAACTGACGTAAAGCACTTAAACTAAAACTCAAAATCACAGCTCCTTCTTAAGAATTTTAAAGTTCTGTAGGTCTAAAGTACCTTTCAGAACAATTAGTTTGTTTGCATAGATAAAAAAAAAAATTAGAATTTGAAGATAAATAATTTGCTTTCAAAATACGGTGGCGCAACTGGTAGAGCTGCTGCCTCTCAGCGAGCAGGTCCTTGGTTCAAACCCCGGTCCAGGGGCCTTTCTGGGTGGAGTTTGCATGTTCTCTCCGTGCATGCGTGGGTTTTCTCCGGGTACTCCGGTTTCCTCCCACAGACCAAAAACATGCATGTTAGGCTGATTGGTAACTCTAAATTGTCCCTAGGTGTGAGTGAGAGAGTGAATGGTTGTTTGTCTCGTTTGTCTCTATGTGGCCCTGTGATGGACTTGCGACCCGTCCAGGGTGTACCCCGCCCCTCGCACAGTGATTGCTGGACATGGGCACCAGCGACCCCCGTGACCCAAAATGGAATAAACGGGTAAAGAAAATGGATGGATGGATGTATAAAGGGTTATGAAAAGAAAAGAGTGCCATACCTGTGTGGAGAAGGGAGACTGAAGGAAGGCCATCCCATTCTTGGGAACCTCTATCCGATAACCGGGTGGCAGAAAGGCATTAAAGCCCAAGACCAGGTCTGGGTGTCCATGAAATAGCTGGGACACACGGTTTATGACCCCAGGTGTGTCGATACTATTCCAGAAAGCAGACAGAAATCACAGTGGTGTAGCTGACAGACAACGTACAATCAGCTGCTTCTCTCAAGCACAACAAACGACAACAACCTGGTTTTAACGTTCTTACCGTTTGGTTTAAAATGAAACAGAAGAATTACTAATTATAAATCTCATCCGCCCACATTTAAACGTCAAGAATACCTGTTACATAATTAAAGTAGGATGTTATTTGCAACACTCACTGACAGACTCTAAAATATGAAGTTGTGTAAAAACATTTTCTAAAGCAACAAGACTCGGCATAAAGTTGAGGTGTCTCAAACTCCCCATCAGCCCTCGTGTGCTGGTTTAACTTAACTAGTTCTGAGATTGTCATGAGAGTCATGCACAGACTTTTTTAAATGCCAGCTGGCAGGATTAAAACAACTAACAGCATTTATAAACACATTTAGAGGCAGATGTTGTGCATGCTACCTAATATGACATGTGAACAAGCTGGTAATATAAAAATATAAAAAAGCTAAATAAATTAAGACAAGTAATTGGCTAGTGAGCATCACAGGTTTCATTTAAATTTTGTACTGCAGAGCTTTCCCCTTTTGTTTTGCTCAATATAGAATACTGCACTTGTTTTTTGTTGAAATTGGTATTTAAAGTTTTAGTTTATCCCTGCCTCAGCTTGTAAAAACCTCTACTGATTAAAGGCCAGAAAAGACTTGCTGTTGGTTCTGTATGAGATTAAGCAGCATCAGTCAGAGGTACTGGTAATCTGTGAGAAGTTCAATTACTCCAACTCTAACTTACTCTAACTTTTGTTTTGTGTAGACACACAATTCCATTCTGGACCTGCCATTCTGTGTCCGTTCCTCCTTCCTGTCCTCTCAAACCCAGCCGTTTGAAGCAGATGGCTGCTTGTCCTGAGCCTGGTTCTGCTGGAGGTTTCTTCCTAGTATGAAGCTGTTTTTCCTTTCCACTGTTGCCTTTGTGCTTGCTCAGGATGGGAGACTGTGACGAAATGAAGACTCGCCAAGTCTGCTGGCTTCCTTCCTTCCTTCCTTCCTTACATAGATAACTTCACTAAATGGCATTTAAAATGTATGCAAATGTTTCTGTTCAGTGCCCTGAGATAACTTCTGTTGTGACTTGGCGTTAATATAAATAAACTGAATTAAATACATTCTCACCTTTGTGACTTGAACTCTTTCATGATGTCGAGAAACTTGTTGTATATACCAGGATCATTTGCAAAACGAATTTTGACTTGATCCAAGTACGACAAGGCATCTTCAACCTGATAACAGAAAAGCAAGAGAAAAAAGGGCACAGAATAACGACAATTAGTCTTCAGCAGATGTATGGAGAAGCCTTTTTACAACATACTGTAGTGTTGTTGATAAAGCAGAGTGACAGATGTTAGATATTTAACAAGTCAATTCCCCATTAATAAATCAGTGCTGCACCAAGTCTGAAAAATAACTATACACAATATCAATTACTCCAAAACATAGATGTAAATGTAGTTTTACTAGAGATATTGTGTGATATTTAGGTTGTGATCGATTATCTTTATGCTGTGCTTCCAAAGAGCTGGACTTTCTTGTAATCTTTTGTTTGTTTTGGACTTTGGCTGCTTTTTACTTTTCATTTGTGTCCAGTCCTGGTACCCGACCATGAGAAAGTGGACAATTGAAAGCAAACAAAGGGCCGGAAAAAAAATAAACATCAACAATGAGCTGTAAATTTTGTAATAAAATGTGAAGAAATCCAACAAAGACCAGACGCAAGACCCAAAAGATGCTTCAGCCATTGGTTGATGATTTACTGAGTGCCAAGTTTTCAGCTAAGAGCTCTTGTTGTTGACAGACTGTATATTTGTGACAGCCTGCTATAGGAACAAAGCTCCTATTTAATTTTCGTTTTCTGCTAAATTGTCTGCTGTAAGACACACAACACTGGTTTCATGTGGAGTTTAGGAGCCTTTGTATGCATGCAAGTGGCTTAAACAAACCCCCCTCCTCTGAAAATGAGAGAAAATGCAGTCAATGCGTTGAGAAAACCCTCAGAAAACCTGAAGAACTGCTGTGACCAAGACTGAGCATCATAAGAAAATAAGATGGTGCAACACTTTTGCACAGAGCTGTAGACAAATAGATTTCATATATATAAGTGTGACACCAACAAAACCACCAGTTTGCAGAACAAGCTGTACAAGTGCTGGCTAAATGCAATAATGAATTAAAAAATAAAATCAAACACAGCTTTAGTTCACTGGTCGACAGCCATTTAGCTAAACCAACAGAGCTAGTTAAGACAGCAAAATTAAAAAAAAAAAACATACTGTTCACACAAAGCATCGTTCCTGTCTGAAGAGGGTTATTGTAGCTAACGCTGTTAGCCTTCAGCCAGTCATTTATAACTCCCAACACCCACCCGCATACAAATTTACACAATGTTTAGTCGCAGCTGGTCTCTGGCCAACTGTATTGTGTCGCTAATAGCAAAACGATATCTTTACAACACTGCGACAACAAAGAGACGTGAAGTGAAGGCGCTAATCAAGTGAAGTAGCCGTTCTTGGCTGGCCTGGCTGACGTCCTCCACTTTGTTTCGAGCTGCTTGAAAAATCCAACAAGGAGGAACTTCCCACAACCGAGGTCTGACTTCATGTTTGCTCTCACACAGCAGCTGCCATTGATGGCGTGCATAATAATAATAATAAAAAAAGTACTCCAAACCGAGTCACTCTACTGTCACTCACACGTTCATTAATTGAAAACCCGCTTCCACGTCTAAGCGAACATGTCAGCGTTGAGCCGCCGAGCCGTGAATTACTTTTATTTGACCGACGTTACTCTCCGACAAATCCAACGTTAACGAGCAGCTGAAAACAAAATGGTTGTGAGCTCGACTTTTCGCCTGCCGTGTCCGTTGTCTTCTTACCTTCAGCTTCTGGAAGTGCTGCTGCTGCACTTGCTTTTGTGTTATAACGTAAGGCTTGTCTTGAATTTGGTTTATTTGCTTGGCGGTGCTGTGCGCTTGAATCTTCGCCATTATCTCCGGCGGCAGGAGGCTTGAGAGCCGCTACCACAACTTAAGAGGGGAGCTTCGATGTTGCCTCCAGTTGTTGGCTAGGCGACAAAACCTTGCTCCTCTCGGTCGGGAAGCCAGTCTGCCTGCCTGTCTGCCAGCAAGCAACCCTACTTTGCTTGACTGGACAGTCTCCGCGCACAGAGGCGGAAAAAAAAAAGGACGGGAAACCCAGCAGAGTGGAGGCTGGTGACAGACAAGCTGCTACTCGCCGAGAGTTTGAGTGCTCATCATCGTCGAACTAAAACGAAAGCACGAAGCGTCGGAAAATAAGCTCGAACACAATGGTTGTCGTTATTTAAAATTAACTATAGCCTGTCTCTTTAAATTCGGCGGCAGCAGTCAGTCTCCGTAGTCTTGGCGTCCGGAAGCCAGAGTAGGAGTGGAAAAAAAAAAAAACGGAATAAGAGAAGAAAATGAACTGCGCAGGCGCAGCGGTGGGAGGAGCCAAGTTCACGAGAATCAGACTGTTCACTCCCCCTTCACTGCTACAAAAGAACAAGGTAGCTCCATGCTACATGTGAGACACACGTTCATATTCACTGAACGGTACAAATGTAAAGACCCACGGTGGATGCAACTCTGATTGTGACACAGATAAATAATCAGGTACACATTATCTTCAAAATCGCACGTGACTTTATTCAGCTTGTTTTCAATATACAGGAGCAAAGAGCTACACACTAGGAAGCAGTTTAAGGAAGACAAGAACAAGTATTTAATTTATAACACTTTATTAATGACTGACTTCCACATAAAAAGACATTAAGAGCAATGACGAGAATGCACAGCACAGAGGAACACTTAGTTTACATTTAAGCATATTTTAATTATAACAGTGTAGTAATTTTGTAGCTGAAAGGCGCTTAAAAGCAGTGTGTTTTGTTTTGAAACACTAAGGTGCCAGCTATGATGCTTTAGCAGCTAGTTTCCACCTTTGAAGCCACTGCTGGAAAGTCAGCCCTCCTTTAGTGACATCAGGTAGGACACGCTGTGCTGGTTTGTCCCACCTACATATAAAAATATACAAAATGATAACATTAAGCACAAAAAGAAAAGGTATGATCACAGAAGTAAATAAGAATTCTATCAAAGCAGTAACTTAAACAAGTAAAAGATTGCTAATATTTCACTAACGTTTTAAGTAAAAAAATAAAATAAAAAGAGACATTCTTGACAAGCTGTAACCACTTATCCTAAGCATAAAAAATAAGGAAGCCTGTGTAAACACTTCATTCCTTGTAATGTAATACTGCAGCAGATATGATGAAGTAGAAAAACAGAAGAAGATATTGGGGGGAAAAACAAATCAACAGTTACCGGTATTCATAAAGTGTGCTCTTACTCTTGCATTCTCTTTTGCACTTGCAGCTGTGTTTTATGTAACTAGCATACTTCTTACTTTAAAGTAGGTAATGTCTTTCAGAGCTGAACCTCACCAGTAAGTGATGGCAGTCTTGACTTGAGCTCCATAAGAAAGGCCCTGTGCACAGCGGTGAGTGAGGCTTCTGGCTCTTGGTAGCAAAAACTTCAGAAGCTTCTGATCCTCCTCTTTGACTCTGGTGAGCAGAGCTAGAAAACATAGACAAAAATTGTATTTTTTTTCTCATTATTAAACGTCATTTTTAAATTCACTTAACATTTGACAAATACAAACAGCGGGATTTGGCACTTCTCACTGATTTTCTGTTTCTAGCACAACAATAACTTCTCTTTATGAATTTCTCCAAATACCTTTTTGATCTGACGCGGGTAGCTGTTCTGCTTCCTTCTGTACTTTCTGCAGAGTGACGGAGTAAAGCTGCAATAACTCGCGGAGAAAACGCAACTCGAGCTGTTGGGATCGCAACTGGGAGCACAACTCTTCTGGAGCCTGAAAGGGTAAGGATGAGAAAATTAACTTCCATTAAATGACAGTCAAAGAGGAAAACTACAGCACAGTAAAAACTGCAGGCATGTACTGTTAATTTTATACAGTGTAAAATAGGCCATTTACAGTTCAATTACCAAATTGTTGTTATCAAAAGGACTTTGCATTTATTTTCACACTTTAGGCACACAAGTACATTTAACCTCTACAAGTTGCATCAGACAGACCCAACAACTTCCTTCACATCATTTCTGCTGCATAAATGCAAAAAGAACAGTCAGAAGACAAAATGTTGACTTTTGTCTGCCAATAACTGTTTAGTTGACTGCAAACTTTAAAAACCAATACTAATCCCATTGCCAATAAAGTGTGAAGCTGCACATTATTTGCAGCCCAGATGATCAAGCAGCTGGTCAGACAGGCAGAGTTTGCACTCTATTTATCTCAATATATCAGCCAGGGCATAAACCAAACGCCCTACTCAGATCCTGCAGTTCAAAGTTGTTTCACCGTCATATCCAAACGGGATGAATAAAGTCAGAAAATTAACTAAATATGATAAATATTAGACTCTGAGTGACCCAGTAGGTGATTTCTGTATCTACTGCACTTTTATGCCGTCATTTGTTAATGACAAAAGAAAAACTTAGATCGCTCTAGTGGCCATGATTTAAGGTGACACCTCCTCCCACCAGCAAACACTTTACTCTTCATTTAAGAGGAAAACTCAGTAGCCTCTTGTCATCATTTATACCCATGTCATAACTATTGACATATAGTAAATGTAGCTGACCAGAAGCCAGAAACTAAAGCCACCATGGATGAATTCCCCTCACCCTGCTGGCTGCAGTACAATTATTATGTCCATTCCCTCCATGGAAACAAGCATTTTCCTGAACAAAATAAACTATTTTTTAGGTATTAATTTTTGTAAACGTACCCATCTTTAAACTTTCCACTGCATGTTCAAATACATATGAATATGTTTTAAATATATTTAGTTTCAATTAGTTATTTGAGGCTTTAAGTAAAGTGTGAAGTTGTGGTTATGACTGACAGTGTGACAACCTTTTAGGGAGTTTAGAGGATGTGTGTAGGGGGGTGTATGATGGGTGCAGCCGTACTTTCCACGTGTGCAGACACTGGCTCCAAAAATGCAGCATATGCATTAAAAAAACATTTTGGCTTCAGTTTTGAACAGAATGAAGTGCTTTATTCATATTTATTAGTGTCGAAGGGCACAGCCTAGCTGACTGAAAATGAATGTGTTATGTATATAACATGAAGCACTGTGTTGGAAAATAAATACATACAGAACATTAAAGATCATTTGAAGAAACTCATGAAAACTCCATCATTGCCAGGAAATCAGCTAAGTTTTTAATACAAAAATTGACTTCTAAATGTTTTTAGAGGATGATTTTTTTTGTTTTTAACCTACCGTAGTTTTTTTAATTACCTAATATAACATATAATTTGTTTTATATTGTTGTTTTTATTACCATTGATTAAAAACACAAAACAATGATCGTTTTCTCACATACTGTGCAGTAATTCTAAGATTGTAAACTAGTTTATCAGTCATAAAAACAATGAAAGGACTTGGTTTATATTTTCTTTTCTTGTCTGACCAGATTAAAACATACAGTACTACTTATCATTACTAACCTTGTACAGAGGAAATGCCAGGTTCTGACAAAAGTTGCTGAAACTTGAGGATTGCAGGCGATGAATGGATAACAAGGACGCAGGAACTCTTTGTATTCTGAAACAAGAAAAAAAAAATCACTTCCACATTCTCAGCAGTTGTCAATAATGGGGACTAAGAAAAAAAAAAGACTGATTTATTTTTTTGTCATATTACTGTTAGTCATGTAACTACGTTACAGATGCAGAACTCTATAAGCAGGATTGTTTTTAGATAAGAACAGCTGTCCCTCCGTGTTCTCACCCGTCCACAGTCCTGCGGTCCAGAGAAAGGAGTGAAACTGTCCCAAACTGTTTGGCCTCCTTAGAAATAGAGTTTCGTAAACCGTTAGCTGCTGTGACCACATCTTCAAACTGTGGCATGAGCTTGAGCTCAGTGATTTCTTGCAACTGAAACAAAACAGTGAATAAAACGATTCAGTCAATTATGAAAATAATAAGAAATGTTACATCTGTCAGATCTGACTTAAATAGACAAAAACACAACATTCAGACCTCTTTATGAAGACAAATCAGCTGTGTTTTGGCTGTTGAGTTTCCTTTAATCAGACCTCTAATCTGCTCTTGTCTGACAGCCTGTAGAGAAACACCAGTAAAACATGCTTTATGGCATTTTTGTTGTCGTTACATCCAGCTTCACTTAAAGTTAAAAAGTTGATCAAATAAAGGTATTCACCTCAATACAAATCTCAAACACAACCAAATCCTTCAGAGAACATGGATGAATTTAATCCCATTGGAATGCAGATGACTTCTGTTTTGCTAGATCAATCTAGATCATTTGATATCGTCTAGCAAAGGCTCACGGTAGTGTTAGAAAAAAGTGGGACAATATTACAAACTGTGATCCCTCAATGCCAATCCCAGGAAAACAAAAGTATTGTATGTGTATTTCACCTTAAAAACCATGCAGTAAACACAGAATCAAACTACCCCTCCTATCTAGGCATTACCGGCCTACATGTACATGTATAACGTCTATTTATGTTGCTTTGCTGTGGTAGGTTTATTTGATGCCTTAAATCGTGCTCTGTCTAGGACACGGCGTGAGAGATCTTTTTTTTTATACCGTCTCTCCTCATGTTTTCTTTCCTATTCTCATCTAAGCAAAACATTATTCTGAATAAGAATAAGAGGGCTGCGCTTTCTATAGTTGCAGCTTTGTGTACTCCGCCCATCTTTCGGACGACTGCACGTACATGTTCGCGTTGTATCTCGGTGCAATGCCAATAAAGTTTATTCTGATTCTTAGACCGAACACTTATCACTCACACATAGAAGCACTTAAAAGAAAACTAACTTCCCAATTATCACACCTGAAATGGGACTCAGATCCTAAGACCTTGAGAACTGCTGCTATAGCTTTGTGCTACTCCACAGCTGAATACTGTGCTCCCATTTTGTGTAGATCCACTCGTGCTAAAAAGATAGATCCAAGTTCAACAAAGCCTGCCGCATCATAACAGGAACCATTTGCCCTACTCCAACAAACGCCTATATAGGACCTCTGATATTGCTCCACCTGCAATACAAAGAGAGAAAATCAATAAAATTGAAAGAAGGAAACAGGAAAAGGACACTCGGCACCCGTCATACGCCCACACACCAGTCCTGGTACATTTAAAATCCAGGGAAAGATTGTGAACATCCACAAGTCTACCAATAAACCTAACACCCAGGAAATACAGAATAAATGAATGAAAGGTTTGGAACAAACAATGATAGAGCACTCAACCATCCTGAAACCTCGAGGAAAAAATTGGCTAAAGGAAGTAGACTACAGAGAAACGAATGGTGTGCCTAAATCGGGCAAGAACCGGTGTCAGAAAGACCAAAACCAACTTGGTAAAATGAGGGCTTGCCAGGAATGCAGCCTGCAGCTGTGGTCACCAAAACCAGAACATGGACAATCTTTTAACTTCCTGTACCTTAAATCCATACCATACCATTTTATTTATAGAGCACTTTAAACAGCGACAGGGCCAACCAAAGCGCTGTACAACCCAGAAACAAACAGGCAAAGCACACAGCAACACATAACGCAAAATCAAAAACATAGAAAACCAAAAAATAGCGGCTAATAACATAATGACTAACACAGTGTGCTGCATACAGGTTCAGCGTGGATCAAACAGTGTTGAAAGCCAGGGAATAGTAGTGGGTTTTTAAGCAGCATTTAAAAACTGTGAGGGAGGAGGCCTGCCTGACAGGTAGAGGCAACTCATTCTATAGTCTTGGGCCTGCGACAGAGAAGGCCCGGTCACCTCTGCGCTTAAGACGGGTTCCTGGAACTGAGAGAAGCAACTGGTCTGCTGACCTCAGAGAGCGCGGTGGGACATACGGCTGCAGCAGATAAGCAAGATAGGAGGGTGCAGAACTGTTCAGTGATTTAAAAACATACAGAAGGATTTTGAACTGGATTCCATATTCCATAGATAAATCCAGCATATATAGCATCTGTAGACCTCGTCAGGTCAATAACAGAGCAAAGGCATGGCTGTCTTTCTGGTGTGAAATGATATTAGTGTGAATAAGTGTGTTCAAAATTAAAAAAAAAATAATTAACACTTAAGATATCCTGATTAACACTTAAGAGTTTTTAATTCCTTCTTACCACTAGTTCCCTAAAGTCCAGAATGCTCTGCCACTGGCTGTGAAGATTTCTTAGTGCTTCTTGGCAATTTTTGGCATGTTGGTCGAGTTGAGTACATCTGTCTCTGATATAGTCCCGAGCTGCTGCCTGCATCACACATCGCAATTCCACCTCGAATGCTGATCTACCAACAATCCAGAGAGCAAGTTGTTTTGATTTTTTTTTTCAAAGTGTGATAACATTTTAAAAGAAAAAAGTAAATTAATTTCAAGACTCTCCTTCAATTTTTTTCTGTCTCCCAATAAGCACATGTAATGCTAGTGGACTTACAGTGCCACGGTTTCATTCTGGAGCTCATCTGAAGTCCCAGACATCTCTTGCTCTGCCTCCATTTTACGATCCTGCAACAGACTTTTGAGCTGCTGGACTTTGGAGCGAGTCTGAGACAACTCCACCAAACTCTGCTGCACCTCTTCCCAAGCAGCCTAAAAAAACAAAAGGACAAATACAATTAGCACTCACAAAGACCAGAAGAAAAAAAAAACAGATGTTTTCGTTTAACGTGACCTTTACAAATATTTTATTGAGTGTAAAAACTGGTGCACCTCTAAGAGGGTCTTAACAGGCGGCAGCTCATTGTCATCTGCAAAGACGTCCAGAAGGTGATTGCTCTCATATCGGAATCTAGAAAGAACATGCCAATAAGAATTCTTTAATTAATCAGTCTAATAGGAACAGAGAGCACAATAATAATGTAGTTTTAGCTACCGCAGTGCTGCCACATCCTGCGTCACATCCAGAGAAGCTACTTTGTCCTGCAGTTCCTTCTGCTCTATTGTAGCTAAATGTTGAAGCGCTGAGAGGACGTGGCTTGGAGGATAACTGCTCAAAACTTTCTGATGGCATGACAAGAAAGACTTTTGATTAAAAAAAAAAAAACACCAAACAATAAAACAGACTTCATTTTGAAAATAAATAAATCCATCAACCTCAGCTGTACTCAGCCAGTACTGAAATGCAGCTATCCTTTGTTCACGAGTTATACTGAAGGGGAGAACAGAGTGCAGCAAATCATCAAAAAGTTTAATTTTGGTCTCATTTGAAATAGTATATACCTTTATTTCTTACCTTGTGGCTGTAAAATTCTGTGTTTTTAGTTCTATTTCTTGTAAAGACTGATAGAAATGGACTCTGTCTTCACTCAGCTTTCTCAGCTCTCGCTGTTAGGAAAAAAAGTTCCCCTTTACCAATCAGCAGCACAAGTTTAAATCAATGCACTCATTTTAGATTTATGTGTATATTCCTTTTTTTTCTTTTCACTTTCTTACTTTACTGGTTTAGTCCTCTAACATAGAATTGCAGTCATGCTCACTGTAATGTTGTCTGTCTAATTAAAGTTGCTGTCAGATCAACAAACTAATTTTCTTACCAGGACTTGGGCCACTGCTGCAGCCTGGGAGTTGAAACCATCATCAGCTCTACTGCTGGGGGGCTCATCATTGAACAGCACCTCAGTTTCTGCTTTCCTACAATACACACGTGCACATACTTTTTAAGTACCAGTACTCAAAACGTTTTTTTTTTCAGCCAACTGTTATTTATGATTGACGTGCATTCAGTTAACATTTTTATATTCAAATGAGTGTTCTGCCTTACCTCTCTAACTGCTCTAGCACTTGGGAGTGGCTGCTGATTTTTTGCACATCGTCAGAGAGCGCCTTACGGTTCAAGCTGCAGCACTGCCTGAAAGCTTGCAGAAACAGTTCTCTGCTCTGGCTGTCCTCCATTTGGGCCCAAATGTGACCAATTGATTGCTCTGTTAAAAATTACAGCTAAGTCTTGAAATAACTACTTAAACACATTAAGTAGTATTTAAGTAAAATAAATAGTAGAAATGAGCCAGAATCATGACTACCTATTTAAAGAAGAAATTCACAACTAATGTAAAGTCTATACAGCATGAGATGGACTAACCTTGTGTGGCTATTTGTTCTTCTGTTCCACTGATCTGAGAGTCCAGGTGGCTGATCTCAGCTTTCAGCTGCTCTATTTTCTTATGGAGCTCTTTACGCTTTGCAGTCTCAGTCTGGCCTTTAGCCTGCACCAACTGTGGAGCCAAACATACAAGATATTTCCATGATTATAATTAAGTTATGCCTACTGTGGACAAAAACAAGTTTTACCTTACCTCTTTCTCCTGTAGTACGTTGTACCTTTGAGGTAAAAAAAAGTTAAAGAAATTACAGCTATTTAACAAAAAAGTACACATTTATACAAAAGCAATGACACAGTAATTGTAACCACTGTCATGGGGAGGACAGATTGTAGCACGTTTTCTATGGAAATAAATGGCTGAAAATTCATCAATACATTCAATTGAATGCTGTACATAAAATTTGATATGCAATGAGATTGCTAGTATCTGATTTTTACTGTCAGCAAACCAGGACATTTATTATACATAACTGAATGTATGTTTTGGATGACATTAGCTCTACTTATATAACATATTATTTAAGTATCAAATTACTATGTCTTTGTTAAAAAAAACAAAAAACACACACACTGGAAATAATAAAGCCACTGAAGGATACCACTTAAGATTGCCACGCATGATCCTCACGTTTCTGCAAGGAGGAAAAAATAATTTTTATAAACTTGCAATGCATTTTTTTTCTGCCAGTATCATAACTTACCATGCATAAGAAACTAGTCAAAGTCGTTATTTTCCATTTGTACACCTACATTTAGATATTAATTCTTATGCAGGAGATAAAGTCAAGAGTAAACTAACAATAAGACAACTAAGATCAACAAGTAATGGTAAATAAAAAACAATAAAAGAGCAATGAGAAACTATTGAGAGCACTGTTGATATATTTTCACTCATACCATATTTATCATTATATACCACAGCAATATTGTTATTTAAATATATGGCACAAGAGATAAAAAGCAGATTATTTTAGAAACCAGGCTGTTCATCCAAGCAGAAATCGGTTGTAATCCAGCCAGTAATCGGTGACTATAATTCAACAAAACTGACCTTTGCTGAAAAACGTGTTGAATAATGTGCTTCCAGATTGCCTTCCCAGTTCCAACACAGAGACTGGAAAAAAGGAGACATTACTTAATTCAAAACTGTAAATAAATAAAGAGCTTTTCATTTAATGTTGGCGAAGTATAAGTTTACCCACGTTTTTAAATAGTTGTCATTAGGTAAACTGTCCAGGGGCAGATTAAACTCTTCTGTGGCCCAGCGCTTCATCTCCTTCACCAGATTTATATTCGACATCGTGACAGAAAACGACTGAAAGTCACGGCGCTGACATACGGTCAGAAAATAATATATATGTTGAACGTTCCCTGATCGAGAGACGCGTATTTACTTTAACAGGCTGAATGTGAACTTGTAAATAAAATGTCACCCTATGCGTTTTTAAAATGTTAGCTTTTTCAAGTTCCCGCTTGCTAATAGATGTCTACTTCCGGCTAAGACTTCCGGTGAGACAGCGCCACCTCTGGTCACCGCCGGCTGCTACAATCAAAACTTGCTGCCTGGTCGATATCAGTATAACTTCACATGAGGGAAGAATCGTCATGGTAACTGTCACTATTTTGTAAAACTAAAATAAAGATATACTCAAAAAGGAGCTGAAATGTCATTATTTTTAAATAGCTCTCTGTTCGTTTTGGTTTGCTGTTTCAAAACACATATTTATGTTATGAGTTCTTAGTGTATATTTAGTTGATGTTTTTCTTAGTTCATATCTTAGATGTCATTACTGTTTTTCTTATACATTTTATTGTTGGATGTAACTGGGACCCCGTGTACATAATTTCGCTCCACCACATGTACCACATGAGGTGCGAATGACAATAAAGAAACTCTGACTCTCTGACTCTGATTTAGCTCCTTTTCAGTTTAAAGTTTTGTTGAAAAGCTCAATAAAATATTGATTTAATGGTATAATCCACTTATGTATTTTCTAGTTCAGTGCAGTATTTGTTTCTCTTACCTTGATATAATTGGTGCCAACCCAATAGAAACACCCTCTCGTTAAGCATAGATAACATACATGTTCAAGTTCAGGTCAATTTTATTATCATTCACATCACATGTGGTACATGAGGTGGAACGAAATTATGTACTCAGGGTCCCACTTACACCTAACAATAGCAAAAATACAAAGTGCAAAAAAAACCCCAGTATATAAGGATCTAAGGTATACACTAAGACATACGCTAAACGGATGTCAAATGGTACGCCAAAAGATCTACTCTAAATACTAATATTGTAAAACAATACGGAGTAACAACATCCCATGTTAAATAAGACACATACATTTCGCAACTGGCTGTAAAAAATGTTTTTCAAAATTATAGAAAGGGTTCATTTTCCAACGATAAGATGCATTGAAAACATAAAAACAAGCAAGAAATCATAAATTTTTGTAATGTCAAAGTTGTACCCACAGGGGGCGCAAGAGATCCACTTTTCTGCACCCAGCTGAGGACTGGAGACCAGCCTGAACACAGGAAATACTCAAAAATATACCACTATCACTTTAACTGCTTAACTACTCCCCTTTTGAACACATTTTTTAAATTAATCAGCTAAAAAGGCTCTTGGGTGCAAAATGCAGCAAAACTTAGACAAAAACTGGTTACTTCAAAACAAAAACAGTTTTGTTGTACCCTTCCTTACATTTTTATATGGCTTATTACTAATACATTTATCACTACCAATTTTGGCTACTTTGGCCTTTTATTTGATCTTTTATCATTTTTGCATGTTTTTACCCATCATTTGCAGCTTAAACTCTCTTCATTTTGTCAAGTTATCCAGTTTAAAACACATTTGTAACAGAGGTTATTGTACTGTCTTGCTAAAAGTGGATGATAATGTCAGTGGGATTATGGATTCAGTCCATCTAACTGATTTGGGCTCGTTATTTGTTGCTAATCCTGCTATAAAAGAAACAAGAGAGAGACAGATTTCCCACAGCAGTGGCTTGAAGAAATACTTGATAATCTAATCAAACGTGAAGCTCGTTGTGATTTTATTACAGTTCCAGTGTATGTTTAGATCTGCTCTCCTGTTCAAGATTATATTTTAGCCAGATTATGCCGTCACAAAGTGTGTAACTGTGTGTAACTGTGTGTGTGTAGGTGTGTGTAATTTGAATTCTTTACCTGTTCAAAAATACATTGTGCTGCCACTTTTTTAAGTGCACAAAAAAATGCAGTTCAGTTTTCACAAAGGGATAAACACTGTGCCTATGATGCTGTTAATTGTAGAGATAATAACACCTCACTGAGTGCCCCCCCCCCCCCCCCCCCCCC